GGGGTTGAAACTTTAAGGCTGTGTTCGTTGGTAGGCTTGATGGCTTGATCGGTTGAATGGGGAAAACCTAAGGTTTTTTTTTTTTTCATTTGACTCCTGCGTTCGTTTGAGATTTTGATGTTGGGGTGGAGATTATGAGAATGTTTTTCTACGTTAGTCTGTAACCTATCTCTCGTTAATGCAGGGCTGGAAATTTTGACCAGGTCTTTTAACGATTTTTAGGGTAATCCCGGGATATGAGTTGGGAATTCAGGGGCCCTTTAAAGGTCTTTGAAATCTTGTCATGCACCAGTATAGTACTCGTACAGTACCGGTACTAGGAAGGCGCTGAATGTTCTAAGCGCAGCAACCAGTACCGTTTTGGGACCTGCTCGCTTTCCTCTTCCATTTCCCTTTCTTTTTTTTTTCCCATTAAAAAAAAGGGGCTTGCAGCGTCTCATTTCCAAAATCGGTACGCGCTATCGTCGTGGTTTTCTGACATTTGTGAACACGGCTGCTATGGGATATGGACAAAAACTCGGCTGGATCCCCAAGAATAGGCGGCGTGTAACAGTAGTCGTGTTCACAGACGTCAGAAAATTACAGGTATCGAGAAGGTACCCCCTAGGGCCTGGAGTCTCCTTGTTATCACAGCTATCTTAGACAATGATAGTGTTTCTAGCTGTCCACTTCTTTGTTGCGGCTTCCCTAACCTCCCCCAATCCGCCTCTATGAATAGTAGCTCCCTTCTAGTTTTTTTCCCTGAGAATTCATTTAGGGGTTTGCTTTGAGGACAGAGTTTTGCCCCCACGTGTGCCTACCCAAGCTACTGCCCTTCTCTAAAATGCTTGTTTTTTCGCCATGGCATTGAGATCCCATACCACCAGCTTCCATCCCAAGCAGTTCTAACTCACTTGTCATTCTAGAGCATATCGTACTTACTTATGAAGGATACAGGATGGATTGAGGTTCGACATCGTATGTCTCGACTACCCTTCTGTACTATTAATTGTGATACTGGAGAGTCCAGTCATCGCTCAAAGAGTCAGCCCGAACTTGCTTCCTAGCTTACCATCAGAACTTAAAAATGTGTACTAGTACAGTAGTAGCTGGATTCTACCAAAGCACGCCTTGCCTCGCCTAGGACGGGAGATTACTTACACGGGAGGGTCATGGCTAGCAAGGAAAATTGATTTATGTCAAGGCCCTGTCCATAGCGGATAACTCCCGGTGGTGAGACATGGCGTTAAAGCGTCCTCCCCGGAGATATTATGCCCGACAAACGTTCGGCATTTCTCCACATTGGCGCAGCGAGCTGGATAAACCGCTCTCTGGTAGGTGGGAGTTTGTGGGTTTTTTTGGGGAGCCCCCTTTTTTAATTTGGTGACATCTTACCGGCATATCGCACACCTATACAACACGTTATCGCCACAAGTGATATTTGGCCGATGTGACGTGTTTAATGGGGGTTGGTGCTGTGATTCGCGAAGATATTCGTGATCAGGGTGAGCTCGTGGGACAAAACCGTCTTTCGATATCTCGTCTAATGCTAATTTAAAAAGAAAGAAAGGTAATTAAGACTCCTGCGAGTAATTTCTGGAGCACGAGGACTGCTCTGGGCTGAACTCTGATGGAGAGCCGAGCGGGCTGGTCTTATGGAACAGTCTGACAGTATCATACATAGCTCGCTCTGGCTGTGAGTCCTTTTGAGAATCGCAATGTTCCTCCAAGTTGAGCAGATCGCTGCCATCTTACGATCCGAGGTAGGGCTGAGGAGAATGAACGGTATTTGAGCATCCCCGCTGGTGAGGTAATGATTTTCCCTCTGCTCTGCCGGGAGTTTGAGGTACTGATAAGTATGGGTTGCTTCTATCCGGTAGTTGTCTTTCAGGTTAGCGCTAGTGTTACCACGGTTTGAGGAAGGCTATGCATTCTGGTCCAGCACTCTTACTACCTCCCCACAGCCAGCGCTCAAATCCAGGGACGATGGGCTCTTATCTATCCACCAATTCCCACATTCTACTGGGCGCGTTAAAGCGCTCCTGTTGTGTCTTTTGTCTCTGAGTGATACTGCGTTAGTGTTACCTCTCGGGCCAGAAATGGTATTGCTCTAACTATAGAAAGAGTTCATATCGCTTGTGGTTTACGTAAAGCGGGATCCAATACTTAAATTTAGTGCCAATTTATTTTCTTGGGTGATAAAATGGGCGATTTGCCATCTCCCGACTGGACTGAGATCAAGCACTGTATCGTGACAGCACTCACCCAATAGATACATTGAGAACTCGGAAGCTTTTATAGTTTTGGGGTAGGTGCTGGGCATACCAATAGACTTACTTCCTACCCTAGCTGAAAAACAGATTTTCTTTACACCTCTTAAAGATGTTAGGATAAGGTCATCTGCATGTATTAGTTCTCTTCACGTGTATGTTTTGTTTTGGGTTTGAACGGGCATTTACATCACACCAGATTAGAATATTTGCCTATATATAAACGGGAGGAACTGAACTTCCTTCGTGATACAAACTTTTAAGCGCCGATATTGCTTTTATCCATCACAACACGTCCCCTGACAAATTGAAGTGAGAGAGACATTTTGTCAAAATATAGATTTATAGTGGGTCCATCTGGTGCGCGGCTAGTACTGTACCCACATAACACCCTTCCTTCATATGATCCCCAAATCTATATGTCCCCCCCACCGGACCGCAACGTCTCAGGGTAAAAGAACAAAACGAGACATGCAGCCCAGATAACAAAAGGGTTGTCCTCTACAGTACTTTTTCTTTTCCGAAAATACCTGCTACATTCACCCCTCAACGGGCGAGTCCGGTTTCCAATCCTCATGTACAAGTCCTCGTCCAACGTAGGAAGTACCGCACCCGAAAATGCGAGTCGTGAGTTTGTCTGTGCGCTCGTGTATGCGCGGGTATTCCGCAATACGCATTTTGAGAATCCCTGTTTTTTTGCACGAGGGTTCTACCTGAGAGTCTGGGGTTAGAACTGGGGCTCCTGGCTTTGGAGGGGGGGGGCAGTCCTGTGGCTCACGAAGGTGGTTGCTATGATACTAGTTTGATGGAAGGGTTCACTCTAGAAACAGTGCCTCTAGAGCGTCATGGGGGGTAAGGGAATTTATCGAGAAGTAGGACCCAATAGGACGTGTGGACTGGGGGAATAATAACCGCCCCCTATTTTAATGTCCCTAATCGTGCGCGGAGGGCAACTGTGAACTAAGGGAAATGATCTGATCAAAAGCAATGGTACCGGTATTTGCTGTTGCTCGATACTATACTTTCGCCCTTCAATAGAAAGTAAATGTATGGTTAGAACTGGTTATTAGGATATATGCTGTCTAAAACCCATCTCCTTTGCTCTGTACTGCACTAGTCCCTACCTTCTAAATTCTAACAGTGTAAAACAAGTATGGGGAATATTCTCCGACATTCCCCGTGGCGAAAGAAACGTGGGGCCAGCATCTAGGTTTCCCGGAACCCCTCGCCTAAGCACTTATGATCCATCCCGAGGGATGTTCTATAATCATGGCTCCGGTATGGTACCCCCCACAATACCAATAAGTAAAGGAACTTCTGTCAACCTCTAGCTTCTCAGAGGAAAAAAAAAAATCTCGCATGAGAAATATCCTAGTTTCACAACACCCCGAAATCCCAACGCTCTGGCGCCCACTGTGTAGAACAGAGAAATTATCGAAAAAGCTTGCTTCTTTGAGTTTTTTTTTTTTTTGATCACATAACGCTATGAAGGGGGAAGGCAGAAACCCTTCCTCCATCCATCGTAAACCCCACCTTCAGGAACATCATGAATATGATACGGATTGCTTAGGCCTCACTGTTATGTGTCCCACCATCTTTGTTGGCCCCCACATCTTCATCAACAATCACTCATCCTTCTTTCTCGGCTGGCGACAGGGGGTTTGGACATGGATTGACGCTCTTTTTCCACTCAGGAGGATAATCGAGCAGGGGACCTTGAGCATTTCCGGGAGAATTTTCAAGCCACTCCCGAGACCCGTCAACTTGTGTGCTACCGTAGGGGACTAGGTTGGAGATCATGGCACTAACGCTGCTAGTGTTTTTTTCGTGGGGCTATGCAAAGCATATCTAAAGAAAATGTTACGGGCAATATCTCCGGGATTTTGAGATCGCTCGACTCTATCATTAATGTGTGTCCGGGGAGGAGGGACGGGGTGGGGATTCTGCACTCGCGGACGGAATTTGACTGATTAATCAACTTGATGTTATTCTCCACCGGAATCATACGTGGGCTGACGCAGTGCAAAATCACCGACAATCAATTATGTCTTCAACATCTCTCTCATTTCACAATCTTACTATCATAGCAACTCACGCTCGTTTATTAAATTTATGATATTTTAACTTTTGCCTCTCAGTTCGTATGTCAGGGTTGGTGGGGCCCTCGTTGAGAACCAATGCCAAACCAAGTCTAGAAATATCCCATTCATCGCTCCATGCCCACCTCCCGCCCCCTATAATACCAGTTCTATAACCCCCACCGGATGACATCTCGTGATCCAAGTCACAGCATCTCACCCGCACCGGGCATGCCAGGATTGTGGTATGATACTAGTAAATCAAGGTGTCATAAATAGGGGATAGGGGTTGTATTGTACAGTACGGGGACAGGGGGTACAAGCGACTTGCTTGACTTTCAACATGGGATGAAAAGATACTTTCGGTGCATGGCTGCTCTAAATCTCATTCTACGGCAGACAAACTTTGAATACCCAGGCACCTCTAAGTGTCTCGATAAAATCAGATGGCATACCCCTTGCCTTCATGGAGATTTGCGTGGGATCAACAGGAATAGTTTTTCCAATTTTTATTGACACTCGAGTACTGTACGAGTACAATCCATGCTCCAGGTATGAGCACTGGAGCAACCAAACCCTCGCACCCACGAAAATCATGATCTCATCGGGCGCGACCGAGAAATCAACCCCACCAAAAGAGGTAGGTCTCTAAACCATACCGGTATTGTACAGTACACCAGAGAGCCCAACTTCAACCCTCAAAACGCCGGTAATAATATGGCAGCAAATGTGCAAAGACCGCCCGCAACCAGTGCCGAAGCCCTCGGGCGTTTGCGTGATACGCTCGCCTCTGGCGGAACAATTATCGGCGCTGGTGCCGGTACGTTTTGAACCCTTTCATCGACTATAGGTCCTGGCTGATTGAGAGCTGGATGGGGGGGAGGGGGGGATCACAGGTATCGGCCTTACCGCCAAATTCATAGAAGCCGGAGGAGCCGATTTGATAATAATCTACAATTCCGGCCGGTACAGAATGGCTGGGAGGGGGTCGCTAGCGGGGTTATTACCCTACGGCGATGCTAACGCTATTGTCTGCGATATGGTTATTTTAGATATCCTCTCCTCGCTTCCCGACGGGATACTAAAGCGATCACAGGCGAAAGAAGTCATCCCAGTGGTAAAACACACCCCCGTCCTCGCCGGTGTCTGCGGCACCGATCCATTCCGCAGCATGCCCCGCTTTCTCGCGGAGCTGCGCGGCCTCGGCTTCATCGGCGTGCAGAACTTTCCCACAGTGGGTCTCATCGACGGTGTTTTTCGGCAGAACCTGGAAGAGACGGGAATGGGCTTCGACCTAGAGGTAGAGATGATCCGCACGGCGCACGAAATGGATATGCTTACGTGTCCGTACGTATTCACGCCAGAACAAGCGCTCGATATGGCACGGGCGGGAGCGGATGTGATCGTAGCGCATATGGGACTTACGACGAAGGGGAGTATTGGTGCTGGGACCGCGCTGGATCTGAATGAGTGTGTGGTTAGGGTCCAGGAAATTCGGAATGCTGCAGTGGCGGTGAGGAGTGATGTGTTGGTGTTGTGCCACGGGGGTCCGATTGCGGAGGTGGATGATGCGTATTACGTGCTCAACGGCACTACAGGTGTGCATGGGTTCTTCGGGGCCAGTTCAGTGGAGAGGTTGCCGGTGGAGGTTGTGTTGGAGAAGACGGTTAAGGATTTCAAGGGGATCGTTATCAAGGACTGGCGTACTGAAGAGTTTTGAGGGGAGGAATCTTAGTGGCAGGAAGCGGTGGCCTTGTTGTGTGGACAGTGGACATAACAACCCTCTCCGCATCACTACCGTAGAGCAGATAGAATGCAAGGGGGCTAATAACCGTCTTTTACCAATTTGAACCCTCGCCAGGCTCTACAGTGCCTTCTACCTCCTTCTCATCGCCCGCCTCTCCATCCCCCCTACTCTCAACAATACCCAACTTCAGCGCTTCATACTCCGCCCGCTCCCCCCGGTCATCCGCAAAATTGAGGCTCTTATAAACCCTCCCCCTAACTCTCTCAACCATAATCTCTTTCCCCTTCCTCTCCCACCCCGTCTCAGCCCCCACCTCTGGCCCCTTTCCCGGGGCGAGTACAACAAACCACCTCGACGACATACTCAAGGCATACAGCAGCCCCCATATCTCCCCCTTGGAGCACAAATGCAGCGCAAACGAGCATATCACAATATCATACTTACCTCCCTTCAATCCGCCCTCCAGTAATATATCCTTAAAACTCTCCTTTCCGCATGGCAATCCTGTGCGAGTGGTATAGAGCTCGTGGGTGTAGGGATCGCAGGCATTTATTATGGCTGAGGATGCAAGTGTAGGGCGGTGGGTTTGTAGGAAATGGATAGCTCCGAGGGTGGCTTCACCGGACCCTGAGGACAGGTCAAAGATGCGAACCGGGGGAAGGTGGTTTGGGAGGATGAGGACTTCGAGGATTGCGCGGAGGGACTTTGTGACGCCAGATTCATGCGGGTTTCGATAGATGCTAGCGTGTTGGGTGTAGTAGGTGGCGACGCCGGAGGAGTAGGCCTCGCGGAAGGATATGGAATCCATTCGTATTTTTGTAGGAGGCGTGAGGTTCTTTTGTTTTGTGGTTTGGTTTTTGATTGTATTGCGGGGCGAAACGCCGGTCTCGTAGGCAAATTTTGAGGTTGGAGGATTAGTGGGGTTGTGTCGGGGCCCCGCCCCACGAGCGCGATCAGCGAGCTGTTGGTGACTACCCTGCGGAGCGCGTTAATTCGGTGCCCTCCCTGTGTATCATACTATCGTGAGGTTCTCTTGAGCGACGCACTACGGGATCATGCCGGTACCTCAGTTCGGCAGGCGAGGACGGAGAGGGTATGACAGAGCATCTCCGACGAAACCAGGGGGAGAAAATATCATCGGGGCTAAGAAAGTATTAATGGAGGACGTCACATGCCACGGGGGGCAATGGCGCGGGCAACCTCGATTCGCAAAGAGCGGATGCGCGATGATGATGAGAAAAATGGTGTATTAGTTGAAACGTCGTGTCTGAAGAGTCCTCTTACGGTCCCTAGCGAGAGTACCCGTACTGTACCACCATAAAGAGGAACAGAAAAAGAAAAAAAGAAAAAAGAGATATGAATTCAATTAAGAGATGAGAGAGGATAGTAGAAATAAAAAAATAACAATTTCACAATCTTACCATTTTGTATGATCTCCACCCACATCGAGCAAAGCTTGGAGAACTCTCGGACATGCTTCCAATTATTCAATGCTCCTTGAGGAATCGGCTTCCATTCCATTTCTCCTCTGCCTTCTGAAATAATTCATAGATTATAATTCTATGAATTGAATGAATATAGTAGTAACAATCTTTAATGTCTATACTCCTATAATGTCTTATTTTGTGACCTATTATCCTCGGAACTGTCACTACGGTAGCTGCTAAACTGAAATGAACTCCTTGGTTTCAATTACTATCATAATCAAGTTGGATCATAGTTTAACTTAGGCTGAACAGCATTTGCTCTACTTATTTCTGATTCAACTTATTAAAATAATTAAACAAATTTTTTTAAAGATACAACAAAGCCTACATTTTAGGAACTGACAGTAAATTATTTTCAATCTAAGAACTTTATTAGTACCCTTAGGATCATCTGTATATTATGGGCTAATATCACTACATTTTGTGAACCATAAAATAGAAAATCAGACATCATGTCCTGGTATATACATAGAGAAAATACTATTAGATTTCTGACATCATTGATTCTTACCTAGTAGGAGCATAGAGGAATGAAGCCAATCAGATACAGGTTCCTGGCATGAATGGACCAAACACAGCGGGGGTACAGGGGGCTGAGAGCCCATTGCCAAGGAGACTAGATTAACTCTGTAAATTGTGAAAGTAGTTAGTATTAAGATAGATAAAAAGGGAAAAATATAACCAAAAAGTGAATATTCTTTGCATGTCTTCAATGTATAAACAAATTAAACAAATTTAAACAAATATATATTAAATATTAAAATTAAAAATAAATATAAATACAGAGATTTGAAAATAATTAAATATTCACCAGTGGGTATGGCCCTCAGAGGCAGTGATAATAGCGTCTATTCGCTCTGGCATTGAATCTACAAAGGTCAATAGATAAACCTTAGAGATTTGTTACCATTCCTCCTGTATCACCTGTGCCATTCCTTCCATACCCTCCAGTCATGGGTAGTGCCACTGCTTGTTCAACTTATTCTTCAGGATAGACCAAACATTTTCAATAGAATTTAGATCAGGGGAGGCAGGAGGCTAAACGAATTTTGGGATACTATACTGCTCTTGGATCTGCCAGGTATATTTCACTTGATGAGCAGAAGCACTGTTCTCTGTTAACCAGAGAGGATGCCCTACTGCCTCGCTCTCCCTCTCTCAAAAAGGCTAGATCACTGGGATAAGGACATTATTGGAGTAGCTTTTAGCCTTTATAGTACCTCAATTGTCCCTATCTCAGAGTACCAAGTTACACTTCTTTCCTTTAAGAATCCTACCCCAGACCATGATAGAGTCCTTCTTGGCAAACTTAGGGATAAGGCAATCATTCTTGAACTCTTCCCCAGGACACCAGGTTACCTAGATACGATCAGTATGTCCAGAGAGCCAGACATAGCATTCATCAGTCCAGATGACCCAGCCCCAATCCTCTCTTATCTACTCTTGATGGGCCATCACAAAAGAGAGGTAAAGTTCTTTCTTCCACTCATCAAGAAAAGACTTCTTGCGAGCAACTCTCTGAGAGTAGCCTTCTATCTGGAAGACTTTCCAGAGGATTCTTGGACATGCTTACACACTGCAGGCAGCCACCACCTCCAAGAGTAGCATTTATCTATGAGTAGCGCTCATTATTGCATTAGTAACAAGACAACACCAAGTCAGAGTATCAATGAAAAAGGGTTGCCCTTTGGGTTTTTTAGGAGTAGAGAGGGTGCTTGACAGATGTCAAAGACTGTGCTGATACTTAGTCCTTGGTTGTTGGCAATTTGTCAATATGTCCAGCCTACAGAAGATCGTAAGATCTAGACCCCACATCTTTGCTTATAGGATACCCATTCACATCTTGGGGCTTCTATCATTCTCTATATCTAGGTGAGTGACTTCTTATAATTCTACAATGTAGAATATAATGCTTACTTACAGGAAATGTAGGTTTTTTTTTTTTTTAGTTTGTACTACTTCACGATATTGGTGATTGCTGATACTTTTTGAGAATATGCAGTGGCCTAGAAAAACATTCACTTTTTGATTAATTCCCCTCCTTTTTCTTTATTTTGATGCTAACTACTTTCACAATTTACAGGGTTAATATAGTCTCCTTGGCAATGGGCTCTCAGCCCCCTGTATCCCTGCCGTGTTTGGTCCATTCATGCCAGGGACTTGTAAACTAAATTTATAAACTGCAAAGACATAGACAATAATGTTTGTACACGCCGGTGTTCCCGAAGGGCCAGGTAGGTCGGGGAATCAGAGCCGGGCCCAGCCTACCGCGATTATCGGGAACCTAGCCTAGCCGTAGCCCGTAGGCTTTGGAAAACCCAGGCCGGGTCTATCTATAAGCTATATAGGCTTAGTGTCTGCCACCCGACCTATGTGACCTGGCCTAGCCTACACAAATTCCGCCCATTAGTGCCAATAGACCAGAAGAAGTATCGGTCAGATTACTAATGGGTGCTGAACCTAAGTGTAGGTAGTGATACAAATTTGCTTGCTGTTGATAAGCATTCTGGGCTGTAGTATGACCAGGTCAGCTGTAACGATCACAGTCACCTGTGGATTCAATAAAACTTCTGCAGAAGAAACCGAATCGGAAGGTAGAATTGCGCAATAGGGCTGTGTCCGATAACCTGGAGGTGAATTGCCTAGACTTTATTGAGTTGATTGTGAATTGCTCCTAATGTAGTTACTTTGACCTGATAGCGAGCCAGAGAGGGATAGTGGGCCAAAGAGCACCAGAGATAAGGAATCACGGGGCGAATGGAACTCATAGTAAAGTGAGAGGAGCCGTTCATGTCTTCCACAAGAAGCATGGAAAGAAGAACTAGAAAATACAAAGAAAGAGAATGCAGCCTTCTCAGTAATAAGCAACAAATCAAAATGGTCACCCAACCAAGCAAAAAGAGCTCACACTCTCTGCCCTGACATCCACATATGCGCTTCCCCACATATTTCTCTATCTGCATAGCAGTTTCTCCTTCAGATGCTGCTGCTGGGATTATGCCATCATGATTCATAACCGGCAACTGATATAAATGAAAATTTAATGATAAGTTACAATGAAAGTTGAAAAGAATAGAGCCACCCTTAAAACAAACAGTTCGAAATCCCGCGTGCAGTCCCATAGGCTTCTGCATGCAGGCTGAGTTCGACTTATACCCGCCTAGGCTCATTGTTGGAGCAGCCTACCTTGGCCCGGCCTACAGCCTGTAGGCTGGCCTAATAGTAGCCTAGCCCATTGGGAACACTAGTATAGACACTGAATATAATGTTCTTTGCTGCCTACTGCCATGACCTCGCCTCCAGAAACGATCAGGCTGTGCCAAGCCCAAGATTTTCTATACACATTTGTACCATACGACACAAGCTGGCAACATCTGTATAAGAACTGTCTGAGAATTATGACCTTGTGGGAAGTGCCCTCCAAATAACTCCCTCATCGTGATCATTGGATCTAGTGGGATAGGATGAGTGATGGAAAAGACACTCTACAATATATAAGATCAGTAAAAGGTTGGTCAAAAGTGACAGATAATTGAGAACGGAAATAGACTACCCGTGTTACAGAAATACCAGCGCCAGGATCGGTATGCGAGATTTCCAGAGTTACTC